ACCGGTTAGGATTAGAAATATAATTATGATGGAACGAAACATAAAAAATAGTAATTCACTACAAATTATTCAAATAATTTATCAAAAAATATGAACATATTTATTGAGAAATGTAAAACTGGGTTTCAATTGACACCTTTGATTCTTATATTTATGCTAATAATATAAATAATGTAGGCATATAAAGGTTTTGTAACCATTTGACAGTTTTCGTTATTTCATGTACAGGTTTCTTAATTTTAAAACATATTCAGTTCACGGTCATCAAGCAATTATTTTTATGTTTAATATATATGGACTGACATTTAACTATTTATTTTAAGTACAATTTTTTATTTTTTTAAAGTTTATTCGTAAAAGCTCTGGATAACTGGCTGAATATTTACCATCGGTTTCTGAGACTAAAATCTCTGTATAAAACATATTGTCATTCCCTGTCATTATCTTTGACAAAACATATGAGATAACCCACCGTTAGAGTAGTTTTAAATCGATTAAATCAATCGTTTTGATATTTTTTAAATTAATAAATTAACACATTAACTCGTGCTAAAGTTTGATCGAGAAAATACTTAGTAGGGGAGACCAACCGAAGAATTTTGGTTTATTAGCGTGGCAGCTGGACTTCCCCTACTACATCAAACATTTCAAATATAACAATGTTAAAACCGCTTGCTGTGAAATTATTTGACAAACATGTATACAATCAAATAAAAAGTGTGATCGTTTACCTGACGCTTAGTAAAAAGATTGGCAATGGTCAAGGTTTTCCACTTTTTATAAGCAAAAAGTAATACAGATTTCGGTCAGTTTTAGTATGTTCCGGTCTGTTGGGCCAATTTTATTGCAACTTGGACGATGAGATTACCGATGTTTGCATTTCAAAACGTAACCATGGTAACACGTTATATAATTGTTACGACATCGTCTAGCTAACTCAGACTTAACACTAACCTAATTAGTGATAGATATTATACAAAGACGTCATGATCAATTCGAATTTAAGAACTGACAATAACTACGTTACGACTATGATAAGTCACGTGATTGTCGCGCGTCAGTTCTATACATTTTTGAAATTCGTTATGGAATTGCTTCGAAGCAAATGCACTTTATCTAGCCCAGTCTTTCCCAAAGTGGGCGATAACGCCCTCTTGTGGACGCTACAGGTCTCAAGTTGTGGGTTATAGTAAAAGTTTCGTTTAGAATTCTCCGTTAATACACATATAGGTCACAATAATTAATTAATTTAATTTGAAGTTATAGTGGTTTTTGAATATGTGAAAATATGGGGGCGCTAAAAATATTTATTCTCAAAATGGGCAGTAGACAAAATAAGTTTGGGAACCACTGGTCTAGCCCCACCCCTCCAGGCTGTCTATGCATGGTTTACGTGGATAGATCAGATTAACCGTGAGTTTCCAAGACCAAAATCTGCGATTAAAACATATTGTTTTCTCTTTTGTCAACGATAATGACATGGATGACTATATGATTTATACAGAGATATTGGTCTCAGAAACCTGCGGTAAAATTTATTAAACATTACTGTTATTCTCTGGTTTTCTTACTTTTATGAATGTTGTACTACAAAAACAGCGTAAGATAATATTAGACTATTCAATATTTGTCTATAAATTGAATGTTTCAAATGCTCTTTAAAATTTTGGATTATAAAATATGGATGGTCAAATGAGAATTACGCGCCACAGCTGACGTAGTCGCATTTCTGATTGGTTCCACTTTCAACCTCTGTGTCGGTACCGTCTTCACGGTTTTCTTTCGATTATTGATTTGATACGTTACACTTATTTATTTTGATGCTGGTGTTTGTTCAGATTGACTCGCAGGTATAGACGCGGATGAGATCTCGGGGGCACTATGAACAAGCCCGTCACTAAGGGACAGAACACATAAACATAGAACAAAAGAATAAAATTCAGTCTATTCTTTCTTCATAAGGTTTGTTTTCTATGTTTAAAATGACAATTGTTATCACCAAGATTGTTGTCTCTGTTTTTTGTAAGAGAATGTAAGGGATGAAAATATGTGTCAATCCAGTCATTACAGTCGAAATTTTCAGTAAGTTTCAAATAGCGCCTCAATCGCGTCGAACATAAAGTTTTTTTTTATATATCATAAAGTGACAAACGAGCTATTGGCCAGTTGAATATGCCGAAATAGATAACTGTTGACTATATACAGAAGTTGCTGATGCGATGCCTTAATAATGACACTATTCTGCGAATAAAAAGACAAAGTCAAACGGTGCATGGCTCAACCTTTAATGGTATGTTACGTCAGTTACAATGAAAAAGGTCCGTTGAACGCACTCTAGTTGTATTGCCAATGCACATCGTTGGGTAACCCTCAACATGAATACAATCGCCCACTGTTTGCTCTCATATCTTCCGCAAGAGTGGATACTGCTAAATTGAATGATGACTTTATTGTAAGTAAAAAACACAATAATTCACTTTAAGTCAGTGAAAGACTCGATGTAAATTTCGTCATCAAAACGTTATTTCATTTTGAAACGTTTAACTAATTAACATGATTCGTTTCGTTGTATATTCTGTTCTGTTACAGTCAAACTTAACAATAGACGCGAGTTTGTGTATTGTAAAATGGATACAACGTAACTAACGGCTTTTCGTCATGCAAATGAAATAATACTTAACACCTTTATGTCTCTGACTACGTAATATGTTTGTATTTACATTTTTTTTCGTCTTGAACATATGTGTATTTCCTAAGTCAATGCATTTAGTTCATAAGATGGTTTAAACGTTTCTTAAATCGACAATTTCGCGACCCCAAATAACTATCGTTTTTCATACGGCTTTCAAACCCTATCCTAAAAGCGTCACCTTAAATGTCTAGCCGTGGGCTTTTGAGACCATAGTTTCTGAATAAAATGAACAGTCATCCGGGAATTTTGGAATCAAAAAACCATGGTAGATCAAACAAATTTGATAAAATTTCTTGATGACGTTGTTAAAATACGTGTTGGAAATTAAATACCTTTATTATACTATTATGTATTTAATTAATAACTTTAAAACGATACCAACATTAATGAAGAAATTGAATAAAATATTTTTTTAATAATGTTTTGCTTTCGCTTTCATTATGATAAGTTATATTTGACTATAGATCTTTTTTATAATCTATGTTTATAATTTTCTGTACAAATTACTATTTTGACTATCTTGTATTTGGACAGCGGTCGTTCGTTTTAAAAAGTCTTCAAAGAAACTCAGTCATGGCCATTTTTAATGTATATTAAGTATGCGTTGAGAAATGCATAACCTAATCTCGATGTAACGCGAGAATAGAACGACATTTTATAAAATTCGCCATTTTGTAACTATTACAAATAAGCCCGCCGGCGCGTGTTTACCAACATGATAAAATGCTAACGTGTTTACTGTTTACCAACACGTTAAGTCAGCTGGTTTTATGCGTGTTCTAGTAACTGGAGTGTTCGAATGCAGTAACATTTGTATTTATAGGGTGTTTTGTTTTGGTGTGGGAATTTTACATTATTAATATTATAAATGCGAATGTATGGATGTATGTTAGCAGGTATCTCCAGAACGGCTGCATGGATTTGACATAGATGACATAATCTGCAAGAACACAGACTACTATTTTTTTTTTAAATTTCGAACAGACGGAGTCGTGGTCGACAGCTATAGACTATAAAATCATTAATTTGTTTTTCAAATAACTCTTTTGGAGAACAAATTAAAATTATTAACAGATGTAATTGAAGCTATTGTACTATTTGCGAGTGTCGATTTAACTTTTGACGCACTTACATGATCTAAATTGTTTTGTTTATTGATTGTAAGACCGGATGTTGTTTGTTATTTAGTCTGACATAGTTCAATTGAGGTCCTTGTCATTTAAACTCATTAGGAGAATAGATTAAAATGTTCTATGTTATGTAAACTTTTTGAAAAGAGATTGTGAATGGGATAAATATTGCATCATCAGAAGATGAGTTGCATTTAGTACCGACAATGAATAACGAGACGAACATTGCAAGAGGAAAGTGACAGCGTGAATAGACTATTTGAAACTGCGAACGTTTGGATGGATGAATGGATGGATGTTTGTTTAAAGGTATTTCCAGAACGGCTGAACGGAGCTCGCTGAAATTTGACATAGATGAAGAACATAGTCTGGAAGAGGACATAAGCTACTACGTAAGTACTTTTTAAGTTCCTCGCGGACGGAGTCGCGGACGACAGCTAATTCTGTCATGATATGAATTGCATTTGATCAAGTATCAATAGGTCATTAGTTGGTATATAATTAGTAATTTCGTCATAACATTATATAAGGCTAGCGGCACTAATAACCACCGGTTTCAGACCTCATTATATAGAGACCTTGACACGTGAAATTTATCTATGACTTTTTTGATGCAAGTATACGGCGCCTAATTTAAATTGTTCACCAATGAACTAATATAATGAGTATAATAAATATTTTTTTGTAGTTCGTCTTTTGTTTATTTTTCAATTTTTTATCATTACGTTCTTTTTTTAAATTATGTTTTAATTAAAACTATTTTTTTATAGGAATGTTTTTGAGAACATCCTTTAAACTCTTTTAACTATTAAAGTAACATGTTACACTCTTTTAAGATTAGTTTTTAAATGTCAATTGCTTTAAAAATTAATGGTACACAATTTCAGTTCTTAAAATACGATAAGATAGTTTATTGCATCTGTGATTTTACTAGCTGTCGCACGCGACGCCATCCGCGCTGTTTAAAAAAAAACTCAATCATTAACCTGAGTCTTCTTCCAGACTATGTCCTACATTTATGCCAAATTTTATCGAGATGTATACAGCCGTTTGCGAGTTACCTTCAAACAAACATCATTCCATCCATCCAAACATTCGCATTTATAATATAAGTAAGATAGCGTATTTTAGTTTAAAGTTAGTACATATTACGTGTCAATAGATACAAGGAAACTTACTTTCATGGCTGTAGTTCACCGCTTACACAACGCACTGCACCAAAACACTTTATACGTATAATGTTCTATTTTTATTATTAAATTACTATTCATTCGAGTTTTGTATAATGCGTATATAACCACTCATGACACAACACTTTCAAAATTGTCGATATGTTTGATATTCGTCTTTTTGATGCACGTCTCTAACGTTTTCACCAACATCGATTACACTGATGACAAATCGATTTTTTTTATTTCTTTTTAATAAAAAGGGCTGTCAATTTATTAATTGACAGTCTTTTTTATTGCCATTGAATATGGAAATTAAAAAAAAATCCTGCAGTATGTTTCTAACGACTTACTAAACATATTATGCGTAGATTTAATCACTGTTTTATAATTAAATGATTAAAGATCATTGTAATTTTGTTATTACGGTATGTTATTGATTATTGTTATTAATATTGTATTACAATAACAATCAGCGATAAGTGCAACAGCTTTACAAATTGCAGTGTTATCTAATCTAGTACATAATAGTGCTTAAATAGTTATCGACCCGGACTTTAAAAGACGTAACTCATTAAAAATAAATACAATGAAACTATTTGTCTAAATTTAAAGATGCTTTTTGGTGTACACATGAGCAAATAAACGTATGTGATTTTACAAAAAAAATCTTTTTTTCTGGAATATTTTAACAATTTTATGCTTATAAAATACCATTAAAATATTGGCAACAAAACACAATAATTTGTAAAAAAAAACAAATTTTGAAATGAAAAATAATTTTTGAATTAAGAACATTGATTTTTTTTTAAATGAACGTTAAAATAAATTCAAATGTAACGGACGTTCTATTCTTTTGCGGCTCGGAAGGTTCGCGGCAACGCGATACGACTCCGCGGTTTCGACTGACACCGGCCGGTCGTGGTGGTGCAACCCTCCCCACGCTGACAGCGTAATATGTTACGGCCACGGCCTTATGTGGGTCGACTTTTTCGGACAGGGTTAGCGTGCCGTGTGCTCTACCGATTGCGTAGGATGCGGCAATAGTTAGGGCTGTCGATCTTTTGATATTGAGCCGTGGTGTTATAAATTTTTTGTAATCTAAAGGAAGTTTAATAGGGTTGTCGATTCATTGTACAGTTCTAACTTTTTTTGTTATCATGTTTGGTACTTATAAAAAGTTAACGACTCGGCATTAGAAGTTAAGGAGAACGTGATAAAGAAGGATACACAGAATGTTTTGGTAGTCTAAGGTTAGGTTAAAAAAAAGTTTGACTAAAAAAAAAGAAGTTACGATGAGGTTGTATTCTTTTGTTAATTGGCGATTTATGAGATAAAATTATGTTAACTAATTGTCGCTTAACTCTAGCAATGTTTGCAGATTTCTCTTAATTTTATCCAGTTTTGTGCTACATCGTTTAATAGTGAAACTCTTCTACGGGTAATCGTAGGTTATTATTTGAATTACCATATAAATGACAATGTAAATTTAAAAATCTCGCCTCGAAACACGTAATAATTACGACACACATACATATTGATGCACGTAGTCTCCATCGTCCTAAATCCTATGATTGTGAAACATATCGCCCGCATATTGGGTGATACATGCTTCCTGACACGTACGTATGATTTCTATATGTTTGACAACCGTACAGACCAACAAAAATAATATCAAGGTCTTTGATTTCTAGACTATGCCAATATATGCCACACAGAAGACAAGCGTCAAGTGGAAGTAATTTGCGTTTCGTCTGATGATTGTGCGTACTGGAGGCCTCATTTTAGTCCCTTTTTGTATAAGAAAAGGGTACAGGAAAATTATTTGACACAGGAGGGGACACATAGCAAGGGGATACTCTTTCTATATATCCTCTCAAAGGTAGGCAACGCATCTGTAATTGCGGATACCTAAGGGCAGCGACTGCTTCGCTATTTCGGCGAACTTATATGGCTGCTCGCCGGCCACCTTATGGTATTAAAAAAGATTCAATTGTTTTATTTTAATTATCCAATTTTTGAATTTTATGGCAATAGTGGTGACTGCAATGTCGAAGAAAATTTCAAATTAGTATGCGTTGTGTTATGTTTACGGGAAGGACAGGAAATGGCAAGTTAAAAGTGAGACAAAGCACGACTTGGAAGGTTTCATTCAATTAGAATATTTAAGACAACTGAATTCTTCTTCCCTACCTTTTCTTACTATTTTCTTATTCTTTATTTCCTCGTTTCTTTTGTTTTCCTTATTCAGTATTATAATGTAAAAAATGTCGTCCTTATTTAAGATAGATTCGAGTGACTCTACTAATTCATTTTAAATGAGCTTTAAAATGTAGAATTTTATGTCTTTAAACTAATTAAATCAACTTCCGCCGGCAAGAAAGTGTGTCAAAGCTGACAGTGAGGAAGCGAATTCACTTTCATCCAGAAAACGAAAGTGCCCACGCGCGGGGATACAATGCAACGCTTACGTCAACAGTTTGCAAAGCTTTCCGACTCTTACTTTTTTATAGGTTTGTTTTAAAAATGATAGGCGTAAGAAAGGAGTGAATTTGTATGACCTACCTGTCGCCCGCGACTCCCGTTATGCGGCATTAAAAAAGATTAAGTAGCCTATGTGTTCCAAAATTCAGCGAGATCCATGCACCTCTTCTGGATATACCTTTGAATAAATATCCATCCATTCATCCATCCATCTAAGCATTCGCATTAATAATATTAGTAAGATTATATATACGACTGATACAGATTTAAAAGTACTAAATACTTTGCCGATCACGCACAAAGAAATTGCATGAAGATTATGCCTATGTCCTTAGTTGTATTTGGAACTAGCTGTCGCCCGCGACTCCGTCCGCGGGGATATATAAAAAACTTAATTAGTGTAGCCCATCCATCCATCCACATCACATCCATCTAAACATTCGCATTTATAATATTAGTAAGTTAAATAAAAAGCAGCTCTTCAAGGCATAAATTAAAAAAAAGGAATAAGTAGTATCCTATGTCCGTCTCCTGACTCTAAGCTACCTCCTCACCAATTTTCAGCCATTTCAGTAAAGCCGTTCTTGAGTTGTACATAGTGTAACTAACACGACTTTCTTTTATATATATAGATAGATGAGATCTAGACAAACTAAGACTAGTGTTTGCCGATCATTTGCGTACAATCATTACCTAATGAGTCACTTTGACACAAGTTACGCGTCTCGATTGCGTCTAGCGTCAAATGTGACGAAACTATTCCGTCAAATGTGACGGAATACGTTATAACAATGGGGTTCTACTGTTTCACACAATATGGTTAAGCATCTGATCGAAACGTTAGTGGAAATTTAAACTAACTTTTCTCGGTTGAATGTAAAAATATGAGTTGATAAGTCTGGTTATTTAATCAAAGATTTATATCGTTATTACGAATCGATTGATTGAATTTCGAAATACGAATACTGGGTGTATTCGAAATTCAAATATGCAGTTTTATACAAAGCAAAGATGGCAACTGGTATTTTAAATCAATTTTCATCACACGCTATTACAATAATCGATTAAACGGCTCGATTTTGTCAAGAGCGCGCTTTTCATTGATTTTTTTCTTATCGATAGTGGTGCAATCGAGTTGAATTTTACTCGATTATATAAAAGGTGTACGTGAGTCGCGCACTGTTGACTCCGATGTGAAACTGTTCCTTCCCTCCAGGTACGCAATGCCGTGTGAGAGGAATTTTAATGGAGAACAAAGATATGCGTCAGAAATTATACTATCCATGCGAAAAGAGTTACATATATAAGATTCTTTGAGATACTCTTTTCGTCTTATTACTCAGACTCGTATGTCCGCGTTTCAAGTATGTTTAGGCATTGTTCCGTGAGATTTTTTATGTGGGAAACATCGTTTAATGTCTTTTGAATTTAACTTTCCTGATCTATTTTTAAATCCCTTCTCGATTAGAGATATTAGAGAAATCTCTAATTTATCGTATAGATTTTAATACTCTTCAATATAAAACTTAATTGGAAAGTTTGAATATGTAGTAAATCCTACTTTGTTGATACCACCATTCCATCATCCATAAAAATCAACAACTGTTTTTCGTCCGACTTTGTTCGGGCGTAATTAAACAAAAACGTGTTAAGCAACCCGTGTTCTTCCAGACAATGACACATACAGCCGTTCTGGAGTTACCTTCTAACAAACATTCACCCATACTGTTAGGAAGAAAATCCGACACTGTGCCGATATACTGGCGCAACACTAGTCTTACTAAAATGTCGACGTTTATGTTCCCTCATTAATCATTCTGACATTTGACTTTGTAATGAAAGCGCGCCATTCGCACCAAAGGATTCTAACTAATAATGTCTAAATTTTCAAACATTTATAAATATAATATTATAATAGTAAAATAATTATACACCCTCTCTCAATGCTCTCAAGTAGAGTATACTTATGGTCCTCTGTATACGATGCAATGATATCACAGTACTGTAGAGTTAGTCTGCGTTGCGGCTTATGTAAGCCAAGGAAGTGCATAGTCGATTGCATCTCAAACCTGTCTGTTGCATGCGGCAATTACTGATGTACTAGCGCAGTACTGATACTAAACAGCCTATCAGTCTATTCATGTAATACGGTAAGCAACTTACGTGTTATCATTGTGTAATATTAACAAAATTAAATTATTATTTGAAAAACAAATGGGTATTTGTGACTGAACGCACTAAGTCAGGGTAGAGACTCGACTAATTGTGACTGTACCATACAGTCATAATTAGTTTTGTCCCTAGTTTGGTAAGCAACTCATATGTTATGTCATCATCATCAGCCTATACTAGTCCACTGCTGGACATAGGCCTCTCCCATGGCACGCCACTGAGCACGATCCTCGGCCACTCTCATCCAGCTCTTGCCAGCTGCCCTGCGAAGATCTTCGCTCCACCGAGTCTGAGGACGTCCTACACTACGTTTGCCGACCCGTGGTCTCCATTCAAGAACTCGTCTACACCGACGGTTATCGGTTTTTCGGGTTATATGGCCGGTCTATATATGTTATGTATTATTGTGTAATACTAACAAAAGTAATGACCATTACTGTGTCTAATAATACTTAACTTGAATAACACTCATTAGTGACTGAACTCCGTTGATACATTTCGAAATATCTTAATAGTTTAGACGGATGGATGAATGTTTGTTCGAAGGTATCAACGGATATTGATGATATTTGACTCAGATGTAGAACATGGAAGAACTGTGCTATTTATGAACCTTTTTTTATTCCGTGCTAACGGAGTCAAGTCGACAGCTACTTTTTTTTGCTAACTTGTTATTGTACTAAATCTTAATAACTATTAACGAAAACAGGCTTTATGGTCCATTTATTGGAATGAAACGTTTCTACAAATCATTTTTTTGGCAAAACCACTTGTTTTTATGCTCGTTGGTCTGCATCAGAGCATATCATGATGTTATGAGCTACGAGTCTTGCATTCTGGAAAGGCATACGTTTTGTAACGTTATTCAATGAATGTTCACATTTAGTTACTACTATATAATGCAATTTCAACTAACTAGAGTGGCGCATCGACCCAAAGTGGTCCTTTTTTCAGAAAGGAATGTTTAATACATACTCTGCGACCCAAGGAGGACGCGGTAGGGATGTGGTATTCTCTTCCGGATGGTAAGCATACCCACTAAACCCCGCTGTGCCTCCTACGCATGGTGGCGAGGGCACAGGCACGCTTGCGCTTTCGTCCGCGACCTCGTTGGATCCAAAGTGGTTCTGACAATATGAGTCTCCAACTATCTTTTTAAGAATAGTTACTATCTATATATTATACATATAAATATAATTGTAGCGTCTGTATGTTATATCTAAAAAAATATTTTGTACATACAATATCTATTCTGTAGACACGGGGAACGGTCGATGTAAAACAGCGCCATCTAACGTGATATGCTGAAATTAAATGCTTAGAAAGTTTTCTTTTTGACCACAGATAGCTTTCTTTTCGGAGTGTACACGTCTTTTAAACTAGATGGCGGTATATGTACGAATTTCTTAATAACATTTTGATCGTCAGCAAAATCGTCATGTTCTTAATTTTAAATAATTCATATTCTTAATGATCTAAATAAATATTATTTTTTTAATATCAAAAGGAAATTTTATTGGTCGAACGATATAATAAAACAAATTATAAATAACACAAATATATTCTTATATATTTTGTACAAATTTAAAATTAACGAGTAACCGTATAATTATAATTAAAGTATTCATCACTAGCGAATGTCTATTGATGTAGTCATGTTAACTCCAAATGACTATACATTTAGAATCGAACTTACACACTAGAAGTTATTTAAATATTTACATTTACATACTTAAATAAATTTGTTTACAGTCAACAACTTACAAGTATTTTGAGAAAAATAGTTTTTTACTTTGACTAATTTTACAAACGCGTCAATTTTGTCACAACACAAGCCAGTCTTCTTTGATCATATCTGACGCCTTTTCGCCTATCATAATTACGGGAGCATTAGGATTACCACTAATAATAGTTGGCATGATGCTCGCGTCAACCACACGTAAATTGGCAACGCCATGGACTCTCAATCTGGGATCAACTACCGCATCACGATCGTGTTTTGGTCCCATTTTACATGTTCCAGTCGGATGGTAAATTGTAAACGTAAAATGTTTTAAACTACATTCCCAGTATTCATCACTAAAAAGAGTAAGGTGCGCACAACCTGGCATTGGAATGTTATGAGGTCGAGACCCATATTTCTGGAATGCCGTCGTATTAGATAGCGCAAAAGCTATCTTTATACCCTCTGTTAGAACTTGAATATCTTCCTTGTAAGCAAAATAATTGGGCTCTATCGACGGTGGATGGAATGGATTTTTGCTCTTAAGCTTCACCCAACCCGAGCTTTTTGGCCGCAATAGGAGAGGTAGTATGGTCCAAGTCTCCGCGTTTTCTATAGGTTTGTATACAGTGTTATAAACCCTATCACGTAAATTCAAAATCTTTCTGATCTGTTCACCGCCATCAGAGTTCACTGAACTTGGAGCGAAATGAAACTGTATATCCGGCCAATTGCCCGACGGTGGGGCGTACTTAGTATTTACAAAGGCCAGCCCCTCCACGCCTTGTGTAGTCATTGGACCTTTTTCATATAATATGTAGTTCATTGCAACCGCGAACGTTTGAAAACGGTCCTTTTTGAAAGTCACCGGTTTATTGACGACGAACGTTAAACCGCCCAGTCCGACATGATCTTGCAAATTATGACCGACTTTTAGATTTGCGATGAGTGGTATTCCGTGCTCTCTCAAATGATCTGCGGGCCCGATGCCGCTCAGCATCAGCAGCTTTGGTGTAGCCAGAGCGCCAGCGGACATTATAACCTCTCTCTTTATGCGTACCTTCTGTCGTTCACCGTTTCGAACAAATTCCACGCCGTAAGCTTGTTTCTTAGCGGGATTGATTAAAATCCTTGTTACTTGCGCTCCTAGAGCGATGTGCAGGTTACTTCGCTGACGGACCGGTCGGAGAAACGCTTTAGCCGTGCTACATCGGCTGCCACGGCGCATGGTCGCTTGGGTCAACATAAAACCGGTTTGTTTCGCACCGTTTATATCACGAAATTCGTAACCCAGTTCCATACCGCCTTTGAGAAAAGTTATTGACAGAGGTGTACGCCACGGAGCTTCCTGTACTGTTAAGTATCCTCCGGTCGAATGGTATGGAGTATCGGCAAGATATGGGTTTCGATTATCTTCGGACTTTAAGAAATACGGTAGAACTTGATCGTACGACCATCCGGGATTACCTAGCGCTTCCCACAAATCGTAGTCGTTTCGATTTCCTCTAACATAAACCATAGCATTGAGGACGCTACAACCGCCGAGAACCTTGCCGCGCGGCCAGTTACATCGGTCGCCGTTCATAGCGAGGCAGTAGGAGCGGTTGTTGGAAGGCGTTGTTTGGAACTTCCAATCCATGTCGGAGAGTTGTGTGTAACCGGCCAGCGCAGGGATGTCGGAGATCTCGCTCTCATCCTGTCCTGCCTCGAGCAGCAGCACGGTCCAGTTGCCGATTTCTGACAGTCGCGAGGCAACAACCGCGCCTGCCGATCCGCCGCCCACTATCACAAAGTCGTAAATCGGCATTATCTGAAATCAAATATAAAATTTCACAAGGGAAAGATTTAGCGTGCAAATCGCAAAACACGTACACTTTGTAAGGTCATCGTGATTACACTATTAACTCTGAAAAAGGTGTACACGACCGCTTTAGAGATTAAGGTTTTTGAAATTTTTACTCAATGTTCAAGCTTGTAGCCCGAGATCAAGTGAAGGTCAAAAAAATTACAGTATATTTTCTACACTTTCAACAAAATTTATTTAACATTTAACTAATTGGTTCAATCGCTGCGCAAGAAAATAACGCTCTAAAATGTTAGATGCATCTTTTTCTCATGTAAAAATGATTAGAAGTTCAGGATAAAGGCGAGATTAGATTACGACTTTGGTTATACCTAATCCCATCTATACTTATGGTAAATCCGTCAAACAATGTGTAATGTACTTACAGCATTGATGTCCGTGATGTATGACTCCGGATCGTATTGCTGGTATCTGAAGTACGTGATCCCAAGTGCCAGGAGTGGTATCAGGCCCAGCACGGTGATAGGCGAGGGCGCTAAGCTCGCGAGCGCTCCGGCCGCCTCCATCCTCACCTTCCAAATTCATCTACTAACTAACTATATACAACTTATACTATACTCCGCTTACTAAATCCAGCCCTCTATCTTCGATCTTTGCTCGTTTTCAGACAGAATCTTAGGCGTGTAGTTTCGTATTCCGGCTTTCTTTTGCGTCGGCCCGGCTTTAAGTTTAGCTTTCTCTGTGTCGTTGAGGTAGCCTTTTAGGCGAGCACTTTTTATTTCCTCGTCGTTGACCTCAAATAATTGCACCTGGAAAGATAAATTATAGCTATACAGTGATTTGTTAAGAATCGTTTTTTAAAATGATTATAGGTATTGTATTATTTTTTAGGGTTCCGGATCTCGAAAGGAAAAAACCGAACCATTTATTATGTTCTAAACAAAACCTATATTTTCGATATTGAATAATTATAATAAACGATAGAAGAATGTTATATCTTATTGTATGTAAACATACAGATTATATCATAGTTTTTATTGTCAAAATACAAGCTTACAAAACTTACAACTTTTTAAATTTAAATTAAAAAGTCGTCTTACCTTGTAGCGTTTTTCTTTAGGTATTTTTACTGGCTTGTACAATTCCTTGTTGACGTCTCTGTAATGATCGTTCTTGTACAAGGACGTACAATAATAGTCGCTTTTAGACGACCTATCAGATCTGAAGTCGTAAGCGCTTGATCCACTTCTGTACCCGCTGCTTTCGTTTGAAGAGTCACTGTTGCTGTCAGGGCTTCGTCGGGCCTTGTATCTTTTATATTCGTCGCAATTGGCTCGACTGTCGGACTTGGGCCGGACTGGATCGTCTATTTTGTCGGCGTATCGCCTCACTTGAGCGCCGCGGTGTGCGACGTAGGATTGCTCTTGGCCCATGTTGGGAAGTTCGGCATCAACCCGCTAATCGAAGTTTTGTGTCTAGAAATATTGAAATTTCCAAATTAATTAGTAATTCTTTATTTATTTTTTGTCTGTGGTGGAAGGTCGCAAAGGCAGGTTCAACTAATGTTATACGCGACGGATAAAAGTATTATAGTAATTTTTTGTATGTATACTTTTATCATTATAAATGTTTGATAGTTATTACATATTAATTTACTCATTTTAGTGCCATACACAACTATGGTTATGTATCTAGTTTCAGACATTATTAGTTAAATCCTTTGGCGCTAATGGCGCGCTTTCATTACAAAGTCAAGTGTCAGAACGATTAGTGAGGGGACATAAACGTCGACATTTTAGTAAGGCTAGTGCTGCGCCAGTACACCGGAACAGCGTCGGATTATCTTCCTAATAGTAGTATTAAAGAAATATTAATTAATCGATTTAATTGTAATAAAAGTTGGCCAAAAACAGCGTCAGTTAATTCGACATACAAATCTGCGATAGTTGATTTGTATGCGAGCGGAGTTGAATCACAAGGAATCATATCCCATATCATCACTCGCTGTTCAGTCGAGTCAGTTAAGACCCTCCTGATGGCAACGAGAATTTCAGTACAGGAAAGTATAGTACTACGAGGGGCGGACAAACGATAGTATGAATTTAAACCGAGCAGCGCCATCTATACGCAAGTAGCGGTACTTAGGACGTTACGACGGTCAATGACCTTGGCCTTGCTTACCGTTAATAGTAACAGATAAGTTGTCTCCATTCATTGGAAATGTGTACGTAAACAGCTGTCTTTAATTCTTTTGTAAGTAATCTGTTATACATTTATGAAAATGTTTCTAACCTTTTTATACGTTTGATATTATTCAGCTCATTTGTTTTTTATTGATGTAAATTTTTTCGTACTAAAGGTACGTGTACATTCTCCCTTAGTGAGCAATAAAAGACTCTGAGTGTGGCAATAGGAGTTAAGTTTTCTGGGTTATCACTTATGACAACATTGCATCGGAGAAAGGTCGACAAAATGATGCGAATTGTCCGCTAATTTTGCTGTTGTAACTTTCACTTTCTTTTCTAAATATCTTTATAATGCTTTATTTTTAGCTTTGAATTAAAGTAATATAGTATAGACGTATTACTCTTGAAATAGCTTTTTTTAGCTTGGAATAGCTAGCTGTCGCGTCCGACTGCGTTCTCGAGGAACTAAAAAACGCTTAATTAGTAGCCTATGTGTGTATTCTAGACTATGTTCTAGGTACATGTATGCCATATTTCATCGAGAATTACTAAGCCGTTCTGGAGATAAATTCTAACAAACATCCATCTATCTAAACATTCCCATTTATAATATTAGTAAGAAGTCATCATCATCATCATCAGCTCACAATACGAATCCACTGAGTCCCTCGAAGCCTAATTTTAGGGTGATTAGGCCAAAGTCAACCACGCTGGCCTAGTGCGGGTTGGTTGACTTCACAGATATTTTTGAATTTCTTAGATATGTGCAGGTTGCATCGCGTTGTTTTCCTTCACCGTAAGAACGTCGGATAAATGAACATATATAAATCGGAAAGTAAAAAGTAAGATTATCGACATCACAGGGAAACGAAGAGCTGGCAGCTACCTCGGACAAAGAATTAGTATAGCTATTCAAAGGGGGAACGCTGCCAGTATCTTCGGAACCTTCCCTAAAGGGACTCCTTTCAATAATATAAATATAGCATTTATTTTACATTGACATCTTATTGACATTAACAGACATACTAAATTTAAAAATACAATTTTTTCCTTTTTTATCGCTAATGTCAGTTAACATGTAACCTCCTTTAACAATTTTAGTTAATTAATCGTTTTTAATATTTTATTTAATATTATAGATTGAAGTAAGATTAGTATATACAGTTGTTTGTATGCACATTTGTAAGTTAACTTGTATAAGAAGTAATCATTCATTGAAGCATTGAATAAAACGCGTAACTAATTGTATAAGGCGCCGTGAAGACGTTACGAATGTCTGCTTTCATATAATACATTACTGGACATAGACATTAAAACAATGTCTGTATTAACAAGCAGAATTGTTTAAAAATGTTCCAAGCTTGGTGAAAGAGACTGTTTGTACAATTTTGGGATGACCATCAAGCTTACCTAACATCAGCTGGGATTGTGATCAAACGCTAGTTTATTCAATATAAAAAAATCATTATAAGCTTGAGTTCGTCCACTCTCCCATCGATTACCACATTGCCCAATCCTGTCCACTCTAGCAACCATGACTAGAACATAGTCTGGAAGAACATATAGGCTACATATTAAGTTTTTTTAATTCCGTGCGGACGGAATCGCGGAGTAGTTTTTTCTAACTAAAGTTGGGTTTACTGGTTATAGTAAACCCAAGTAAATAAGTAGACAACTTTGTACTTTCCTGTTAATTGGTTATATAGACTTTGTTTCTTACATTACGGAACGTTTCACTTGAATTGTGTAAGTATTCGCGAGTTCTTGTTAATATACACTTATGATATAACATAGTCGTTTTTAGAAATGCACTAAATGAAATATGACGAGACCGAAAGTTTTATATTAATAGATATAAAAATATATACTATACTAGCTCTCGACCGCGACTTTGTCCGCGTGGAATGAAAAAAAACATATAATAGTTTCTGTAAATTATTCGATTTTTTTCTCAACTTTTAAACCTTCCCTAGACCTCCATGAACATTTCAAGACCAAGATGGTACGGACGGACGGCGAGACTAACGAACTGCAATTTATATTTATTTATCTCGAGCCTTTATACTTTTTGATAAAGATTCTCTAATTACTCAATATTCTTTAAATCTTATTTCTTGCTCTTATGCTCTTTCGATTTTCCTATAAAATATTGCTTAAGTTTTTAGAAGAGTCCAAAAAGGAAAATCGCAATTACCATGTAATTAAATAATAGAATAAGGTAAAAAAAGGAACTCACTATTGTAATTTAGAGATATTAGCACAGATCAAAAGTTTGTATTTTTTCGTTTGTTCTAAAAATAGAAAGTAATATTAACTCTACCTTGACATTTTTTATTTTATAGTCGTACTGCAATTTTAAGATCGTCATGCAATTGACTACTTACACGTTATTGACCTTTGTAATGAATAGGCATTGCGGGGAAACATCGTATCCGAACCGCGGGAAAATCCCTTGAAACTGATGACCCGAGACTAATAATTTATTAGTAATCAAATATACTGAGTTCTTGTAAACAAAAGAGTAATGAGAATGAATGTGGATGAATACTTTTAGACATATTATAAAGCGGAAGAGTTTGTTTGTTTAAACGCGCTAATCTCAGGAACTACTGATCCGATTTGAAAAAATCTTTTTTTGTTGGATAGTCCATTTATAGAGGAAGGCTTTAGGCTATATAACATTACGCTGCGACCAATAGTTTTTTTTTAATTCCGCGCGGACGGAGTCGCGGGCAACAGCTAGTTGTAGTAGTACATTGCCAACCCTCAACACAAATGCAGGTTAATGATGATTGAGTAATTGACACTTTGTTTTTCTAAAAGTTGATACAAGGCTTAGTTCGAGTAAATTTTATTAACATTGCTAATTCAGTTCAGGATATAGACGACAATTTGACTAATGTTTTTTGTAAGATATTCATGAATTTTATAATAAATTTAAAAATTTATATCTAATTATTTTGAAGTAATTTTATGCTTAATCTTTTTATTTGTACACCGAAAAGATATCATAGCTTTTAGGTTAATGGTGTTGAGAAACGGTCGAAAACGCTACCAACATAACCGGTCAGTTGTTTGCACACAACCAAGTTGCTCGATGACGACTCTACAATTTTGCAACTTTATATCTCGCAATTCGTATTCTGTTAAAACTTCTGGTAGATTTTTATACACGAACACTGTGTTAAGTAAAATGTTTCAACTATTTCTTTGGTAACATTTTTACACAGTCAAAGAATTAAATTTGTGACCCACTTAACAATTAATAACGTACAGCAGTCTGTTATAATGTATGCGTTCTACTGATTCTCTTAGCTACCTCCTCTGCGGAACAGAGTTCGCCGGGTCAGCTAGTACAATATATATTAAATAAGTATATATTTATAAATAGTAATGCCTATGTAACTTATTTGTATTCAGTGTGCGTAGAAGAAACTACATATATGTAAGGCGTCTTTTACATATGTGACATTTAAACATGACCAAACCATATTTAAAGTTCTTGTATTTACTTTTACATAAAAGAAGAACTGTTATATGCTTAAACCATGAACCTTGGTATATAAATTTAATTGGAAATTGTTTTGACATTCGGAATTATTTATACTTTATATGGAAGTTAATTATACTTAAGGAGTCACAAGGGTTTTTCCTTCCTTTATAATGTCGTCCATTGATTCATTCATCTTTCAGAAGGTAAAGATAAAGTCTTATTATGGTTAAATTTCCAGGATTTAAATGGCAACATCTTTGGAGGATAATAAGAGCCTATCAATAGATGTCAAGGTTAATATCGTGAAAGTGATTTACCGTGGGTTTCTGAGACGAACATCGCCGTTTAAAACATATTGTTATCGTTGTCTTGTCAAAGATAATGACAGGGATGACGATATGTTTTATACAGAGATTATGCGCTCAGAAACCAACGGTAAACCTTACCAAGTATGTCAAAATCCTGGCCTGTGGGAGTTACAATCGGCTTCTTTATTATATGACTCTATAATGTGTCCAATGCAATTAGTTCTATATTTCTTCGTAATATGACGTGTCGTTTTATATTTCAGGTCATGCTATATATAACATTATTAAGCTTTTGGTATGATTAACAAAAAAAAAATGCTTGTGTGTGATCATTCCTAAGCGTTAGTGTTTTCAATTCATTAAAGTATTAGCTGTCACCCG